GAGGGAGCAGCAGCGGGCTGCGCTGCATTTGGCTCAATATTTTAAATTTTAAGCATTTTTACCGATTTTTTTTTTTTTTTTTTTTTTTTTGGAAAGGAGGCGGTGAGCACGCCGCTGCGGCCGGGGGGGACCCTCCTGCCCGCGCTCTGCCCGCGGGCCACGCGGGACGTGTTTTCACACGCCCGCCCCCACGCCGGCCCTAGCGAGCCGGAGCAGCGGCGCAGCAGGGAGCCGGAGCGGCCGGAGCCCCACGGTGTCCCGCGTGGGCCCCCGGCCCGGCCCGGCCGGTCGGGGCTGCTGGGAGCGGAGGAGGAGGAGGAGGATGTGTTTCTGATCACCGCTTACTTTTAAACACTACAATCAAGGAATGTAGCCAGGAGGTCGGGCCTGGAATAAAACCGTAAAATCAGAATTGCAATCTTTTTGATGTTTCAAAGTCTCTTTGAATGCCTTTGATACACTCAATAGCAAATTTACTGGGCTATTATCACTAATAAGCAGAAATAAGTAATATCTCTCAGAGACTTCTATGGGCTTAATGTGTCCTTTAAAATAAAGTTTTCTAACATCACATAATTCCCCTTCTGTCTTTGTCTCTGCTGCAGCAGAGCTCCCCGGTGATCGTACGGCTCCACCTGGGTGCCAGCGAGGGCTCTCCCAGTTCCTTCCGCGCCCCGACTTCTTTCCTCTTTCTCTCTTATTTGTTGTTTTGTTTAAAGGAAGGCCGGGCTGGATGCTTCTAAGTGTCTAGATGATCCTGCGGGAAGCAATGGGCCAAAACAGAACCATTTTCCAAGCGGAGATGGGAAGAAAAGAGAGGAGAGGAGAGGAGAGGAGAGGAGAGGAGAGGAGAGGAGAGGAGAGGAGAGGAGAGGAGAGGAGAGGAGAGGAGAGGAGAGGAGAGGAGAGGAGAGGAGAGGAGAGGAGAGGAGAGGAGAGGAGAGGAGAGGAGAGGAGAGGAGAGATAAAGAGATGAAAATAAGAAAGAGAAAAGAAAAGAAAAAAAAAGAAAAGAGAAGAAAAGAAAAGAAAAAAGAAAAGAAAATAAAATAAAAGAAAAGAAAAAAGAAAAGAAAAGAAAAGAAAAGAAAAGAAAAGAAAAGAAAAGAAAAGAAAAGAAAAGAAAAGAAAAGAAAAGAAAAGAAAAGAAAAGAAAAGAAAAGAAAAGAAAAGAAAAGAAAAGAAAAGAAAAGAAAAGAAAAGAAAAGAAAAGAAAAGAAAAGAAAAGAGAAAAGAAAAGAAAAGAAAAGAAAAGAAAAGAAAAGAAAAGAAAAGAAAAGAAAAGAAAAGAAAAGAAAAGAAAAGAAAAGAAAAGAAAAGAAAAGAAAAGAAAAGAAAAGAAAAGAAAAGAAAAGAAAAGAAAAGAAAAGAAAAGAAAAGAAAAGAAAAGAAAAGAAAAGAAAAGAAAAGAAAAGAAAAGAAAAGAAAAGAAAAGAAAAGAAAAGAAAAGAAAAGAAAAGAAAAGAAAAGAAAAGAAAAAGGCGGGGAGGGAGGGAAAGCGGAGCGCGGGGAGCTGCGGGGGGCGAGCGGGACGCGGGGCGCCCGTCCCCGCCCGGCGAGTGGCTCCGCTCGGCTCCGCGCTGCGCGGGGCTCCGCGGGTGCGGGGCGGCTCCGCGGCTCAGCCCGGCCCGGGACAGCGCCCGGCCGCGCACCTAAGGCGTGGTGCGCATAACCCCGCGGCCTTTGTTTAATGATTTTATTGAAAGAAGGAGACAGTTGTGGGGAAACAGGTTTGACAAGGAGCTGCGTTTCCCCCTCGAGGGAATAGCTTTTTTTTCCCCTCTCTCTCTCCCTCTTTCTTTCTGTTTTTGGTTTCTCTTTGACATCAAAGTCAGTAATCGGTTCATTGCAGTGTCAAGATCATTATTTAATTTATTTATCTCCGTGAGTTAAATAGCTACACACCTGCAGACAGGAGAGAGAGTTGGAGGAATAATCCGGCGGGGGGAATGGAAACGAAACCCACCGCGAGCAGAGGCTGTGGAGGGGAGGGCTGGCAGGGCGAGTGGGGCAGGAGGGGGAAAGTGAGAGAACGAGGGAAAGGGAACGAGAAGCTGGAATAGAGAAGTGAGAAAATAGATAAAGGAAGAGAAAAGGATAAAAAAAAAAAAAAAAGAGGGAGGAAGATAAGAATGGAAGGAGAGAAAGCAACAGAGAGAGAGAGAAGAGAAAATGAGAGAGATGGAGAGGGGAAGAGAGAGGAAAAAGGAAGGGAGGGAGGGAGGGAGGAGGGAAGGAAGGAAGGAAGGAAGGGAGGGAGGGAGGGGGGAAGGAAGGAGGGAAGGAAGGAGGGAAGGAAGGAAGGAAGGAAGGAAGGAAGGAAGGAAGGAAGGAAGGAAGGAAGGAAGGAAGGAAGGAAGGAAGGAAGGAAGGAAGGAAGGAAGGAAGGAAGGAAGGAAGGAAGGAAGGAAGGAAGGAAGGAAGGAAGGAAGGAAGGAAGGAAGGAAGGAAGGAAGGAAGGAAGGAAGGAAGGAAGGAAGGAAGGAAGGAAGGAAGGAAGGAAGGAAGGAAGGAAGGAAGGAAGGAAGGAAGGAAGGAAGGAAGGAAGGAAGGAAGGAAGGAAGGAAGGAAGGAAGGAAGGAAGGAAGGAAGGAAGGAAGGAAGGAAGGAAGGAAGGAAGGAAGGAAGGAAGGAAGGAAGGAAGGAAGGAAGGAAGGAAGGAAGGAAGGAAGGAAGGAAGGAAGGAAGGAAGGAAGGAAGGAAGGAAGGAAGGAAGGAAGGAAGGAAGGAAGGAAGGAAGGAAGGAAGGAAGGAAGGAAGGAAGGAAGGAAGGAAGGAAGGAAGGAAGGAAGGAAGGAAGGAAGGAAGGAAGGAAGGAAGGAAGGAAGGAAGGAAGGAAGGAAGGAAGGAAGGAAGGAAGGAAGGAAGGAAGGAAGGAAGGAAGGAGAAAGAAAGGAAGGAGAAAGAAGAAAGGAAGAAAGGAAGGAAGGAAGGAAGAAAGGAAGAAAGGAAGAAAGGAAGAAAGGAAGAAAGGAAGAAAGGAAGAAAGGAAGAAAGGAAGAAAGGAAGAAAGGAAGAAAGGAAGAAAGGAAGAAAGGAAGAAAGGAAGAAAGGAAGAAAGGAAGAAAGGAAGAAAGGAAGAAAGAAAGAAAGAAAGAAAGAAAGAAAGAAAGAAAGAAAGAAAGAAAGAAAGAAAGAAAGAAAGAAAGAAAGAAAGAAAGAAAGAAAGAAAGAAAGAAAGAAAGAAAGAAAGAAAGAAAGAAAGAAAGAAAGAAAGAAAGAAAGAAAGAAAGAAAGAAAGAAAGAAAGAAAGAAAGAAAGAAAGAAAGAAAGAAAGAAAGAAAGAAAGAAAGAAAGAAAGAAAGAAAGAGAGAAAGAGAGAAAGAGAGAAAGAAAGAGAGAAAGAGAGAGAGAAAGAGAGAGAGAGAAAAAGAAAGAAAGAGAGAGAAAAAGAAAGAAAGAGAGAGAAAAAGAGAGAGAAAGAGAGAGAAAAAAGAGAGAGAAAAAGAGAGAGAAGAGAAAAGTAAAATAAAAAGGGAAAGGCGGAAAGACGCAAGGAGAAAGGGGAAGAAGGAAGGAAAGTAGGAGGGCAAGGTCTCCGCTAAAGTTTCCAGCACTGTCGCTTCACGCTCGCCCACCTCGCCCCAGTTTTGCCCCGAGCACCCCGCCCCCCCCCCCCCCCCGAGCCCCTACTCCACCCCCGCAGCCGCCCCGGGGAGCAGCGCCCCGACGTGCGCCCCTCGGCCCGGCCCGTTTGGGGGTCCGGAAGGTCCCACCAAAGCTCTGCAGAGGTGGGGAGCGGAGGGGGGGGGGGGGGGCCGGTGTGGATGTGTGTGTGTGTGTGTGTGTGTGTGTGTGTCCCGGCCGCTCTGCCCCCCATCTCCTGCGGGGCCCGGCGGGCCGCGGGCAGGCGCTTTCCCCCCCCTCCTCGCTCTCCCTTCCGACCATTGTCAGACTAATCTGGGTGGATGTTAAAGGACACTGAGCTATCGGTGTTATCACCCAGACTGACAGCAACTGTCAGCTGGGGTTAAATCAGCGCTCGGCGCTCCCGGCGCCGCGCCGCGCCTCCCTGCCCCACGCCGGGCGCATTCAGCCCCGCGTGTCCCAGCGGATCGTCCCGCTGCTCCCAGGCCCTCCCGAAGCCAGCTCTTTTAATTGTCCTCATTTGTAAGAGCCGTTTTGTCATGCTAAACAAGGCTGGAGCAGCCATTCTAACCTCTCCTTTCAGCCCTTTTCTCCTCTCCCCTTTTGTTTACCTTCGCCTGATCTCTCATTTATTTATCTATCTATTCTTCCTCTGCTTACCCTCCCATTCAAGCCCCATGTATGTTAATTGTGTTATGCCGTTTAATTCTAACATCGGTCTCCAAAGAGCACTTAATGAGCAAAGCACATCCAAACACGCATCGCTCCGGCTATTCAGCTCCTCCAGACAGACCTCTGCGTCCCGCTCCGTCCCCTCCGTCTCTGCCCCCCTCTCCAGCGAGACTCCCGCCCTCACAAAGGGGTCCCCATGAATAGCACACACACACACACACACACCCAAAACATCACTAATTGATCCGGACAAGACGCTAATTCCAACCCGCCCCCCTTTCCATCACCACCACCTCCCGCTCCAAATCTCTCCTCGCACCGGTAAAACTTCAACGCCGCGGAGGCAACTTGAGAAAGCCCGATTCCCCGACGGGATGGGGAGGTTGGGGGGGGGGGGGGGGGGCCGGGGAGGAGGCGACCAGCCCCACAACACCCCCGCCTCGCCCGGCAGAACCTCGGGTTTACCGCCGCTGCATCCCTGGTTTTCAGAAATTTCCTCACCCCGCAGCCGCGTTTCCCCCGACGGGCTCCAAAAGGAGCCCGACCCGGCCCCGGTACGGCTCCAAAGAGGCTCCGTGCCGTTGAATTCGGCTACCGGAGGGGGGGTCGCGCCGGGGAGAGCGGCCCCGGGGGCCCGGGGCTGCGGGCGGAGCTCGGCCCCTCCGCGGGGAGCCGCGGCCGCAGCCGCCGGTGCGGGACGCGGGGCCGGGGCTCCGCATTTACACCACGCAGTTGCCTCGTTTGATGACAGATTGTCTTTATTCAAAACGTCTTTGTTCAACAAATGAAAAGGTTTAACGAGGTAAAATCCTGCCGGATACATATTTTTTTCTTCTTCTTCTTCCCCAAGACATTGTGAAAACATATTTAAATTACCATCGGTTTTTATTCGCTTTTTCGTTATTATTATTATTATTAGTAGTAGTAGTAGTATTAATTTTTTACAATTCTACTGCCTGACTTCATACCTGACGCTCTGTCTAAAGTAAACTTAGATCTAGTCTCACTGGATCACACAAATTTAAGGACTATCTGTTTTAAATTAAGCAAACACTATCATATGTTTTAAATATAAATGTTTCTCCCCTTCTTTTTTTTTTTTTTTTTTTTTCCCTCTTTTTAACTTTGAAGAGCCTTTTCCTGACACGAAAAGCAATTTTACCTAGTAGTGCGTGGTGGCAAAATATATATATATTTATATATATAACACAGCTGATCTCGTCTTTTAATGTGCAAAAGGAAAACAAAACCAAAAAAAAACATAGTAAGACCGAGACTTCCCAAAGTCAAGTCCAAGTGACATAAGACCCTGGAGAACTCATAGACGTTAAGAGAATAAATAAAAATCGAAACCGCCTCTCTTTTTTTTTTTTTTGTCTTTTCTCTCCCGCTTTGTCCCGAAAGGGCAGTTCAAGGTTCGCTTCTTTTTTTTCCTTTTTTTTTTTTTTTTTTCCTCTTAACCACATTTACAACTCTTACAAGTGCCGGGCTCCTACCGGCCCCCCGCGATTGCAGCTCCCCCCCGAGCCTGGGGCCAGCTCTCAGGACGAGCTTTTAGGCAAGAGCATCTCCGAGTCCCCGAGGCAGCGTCCGCGTCTGTCCCGGCCGGGTGGCGGGCAGCAAAGTCCTGTTTCGAGTAGCTTTTCGCTTCTGCAGGTTTTATGTACACGCACACGGAGGAATCCCAGTTCCAGCTGCCACCCGGGGAGGGGACACACACGCGCACGCACACACACACGCACACACACGCCTTGGGGGGGGGGGGTGCGGGTGGGTGTTACATGGCAGTCGCATGTGCTGAAGAATAGGGGTCTATCCCAGTCTTGGTCATGCCTGGGAATAATATGTAGGCAACTGGAGGTTGCAAACTGGAAGCCGACCAAGCGGTACAGTTACATGGCACGACATAGCCCGGGTTAGTTGGCGAGGGGTGAGTGTGGGTGTGTTGGCTGGGGCAGCTCAAGCTGCCAAACGCCCCGTTCTGGTATCCCAAGGTGGAGGCGTAGGGCAGGGTGCTGGTGGCTAAGGTGTGAGGAACCTCAGTCATCTTCTGAATGGCGCTGGAGCTGAACTGGCTGGGGTCAAGTAAGGAGTAAGGTGCTGAGGTGGGAGGCAGGAAAGCCCTGGCCTTCTCCGGGGAGCTCAGCAGAGAGTCAGTGGCCCCCACGGGAAGCCCGGCGGCCTTTAAGGGATCGGTTTCCCCGAGGTAAGGCAAAGGGAAGACATACCTGTCCTTTTTGAGCAGGTTCTTGGGCTTGCGCCGGGGTCTGTACTTGTAGTCGGGATGCTCCTTCATGTGCTGCGCCCGCAGCCGCTTGGCCTCGTCGATGTAAGGGCGTTTCTCCGCCTCGGAGAGCAACTTCCACTCCGCGCCCAGCCGCTTGCTAATCTCCGAGTTGTGCATTTTGGGGTTCTCCTGGGCCATCTTGCGCCGCTGGCCGCGGGACCACACCATGAAGGCGTTCATGGGGCGCTTGATGTGGTCGCTGGGCTTGGACATGCTGCGGGCGGGCGGGCGGGCGGGCGGGCGGCTCGGCGGGGCGCGCTGGGGGCGCCGGACGGCGGCAGGAGGAGGAGGAGGAGGAGGAGGAGGAAGAGGCCGAAGGAGCCGGAGGAGCGGGAGGAGCGGGCTCAGCTGATCATCACAGGTCCTCCGCCAACGCCGTCCCCGGCGGGAGCCCTGCCGGGGCGGGGCGCGGAGGGGCGCGGAGCGGCGGCCCGCGGGGCCCGGCGGGCGGCTCTAGGCGGGCGCGGAGCCGCCGGGCGCAGGAGCGGGCCGGCGGTGGGGACGCGGAGAGGCGCGGGGCAGTTCAAAGGCGAGGGGCTGCGGCGCGCAGGCTGACATAGCGGCAGGGCGGTCACAGCGCGGCCGGGCGCCCAATCAGCGCGGAGGGGAACCCGCTTAAAAAGCGAGGGAGAGAGGAAGGGCGAGAGGAAGAGGAGGGGAGGGGACAGGGGAGGGAGGAGGAGGAGGAGGAAGAAGAAGAAGAAAAAAAAAGGAGGGGAAAGGAGGACACCCCCACCCCCCGAACGAGCAGATTAAGAGGAAGGCTTTTGTGAGTTGCGGCGCTAATAGCAGCTGCGAGGAGGCGAGACGAAGCGGGGGGGGGGGGGGGGGGGGGTGTCGTCCCCATCCTCCCCATCCTCCCCCCATCCCGCCGCTGTGCGGAGCGGGGCCGGTCCCGGAGCCCTCCGGGCTCCCCGCTGCCGTCGGGGCTGCGAGCTCCGCGCTCCGCCGTGCTCGGGGCTGCGCTCCCCCTTCCAACCCGACCCTCCCCCCTTTCCCCCCCCCCCCCGGCTCCGCAGCCCCGCTTAACCCCGGGAGCCGGCCCGCGTCCCGGCTTGCTTTGAATAATTGCCTGCCTCCCGCGAAACGCCCGTGGGGAAAATATTTATTAAATGGAAACAATTGTCCCGGCTCCCGGGGGGGTTGGGGGGGGGGGCGCACCGCGTTTGTTCCAGGCTTATTGGTTTTTAGCACCTGCTTTGGTTAACAAACCTGCTCCGAAAAGACCCCGCCGGGCCGGCCCCTACCTACCCCCCCCCCCCCCCGCCCGTTTTTGAGAGCGACCGGTGAGAGAAACGAGAAGTCGGGTGGGGGGAGGTTCCCCTGGCCGGCTGAGGGGGGGCGGCCCCCCCCCGGTCTCCCCCAGTACCCACCCCCTCCGGGGCTCGGCACCGCTCCGCCCGCCCGTCACTTCGCCTCCCGCCCGGCGGGTACCGGGGTGCCGCTATTGGCGGTACCCGCCTCCTCCCAATAATAATAATAATAGTAATAATAATAATAATAATAATAACAACAACAACAACCGCCCTCGACCTTATTTCCTACTTTCTTCCTTTCCGCTTGCAATAAATGACTTTCATTTCCAGGCAGAGCCGTGTGCGTGCGGAGCCGGGGAGGAAGAGGAGGAGGAGGAAGAAGAGGGGGGTATATGATTTAGAGTCACCTCACCTGGACGGGGCCGGCAGCGCCGGAGGCTTTGGCTCTGCTGCCGCCAGCGCCATCCCAGCGGCTTTTTTCGTTGCGCCTTGAAATGCGCCGCGAATTTCTCAGCCCTGGCCGGGAGCCCCGTGCCCTGAGTGGGGGCTGCGGGGGCGACAACCCACACACACCACCCCCCCCCCCTCCCGCCGTGCGACGGGATCGGGGAAATTCCCCCCCATTCGCCAAATGGGCTCCCTCGAGCATCCCCCCCCCCAGCAGCCGCGTACGGGACACGCAAACAAAAAAAGCGGGGTTGCAGGAGGCCGCTTCCCCTAGATGCACCCCACGGGAGCCTACTACCTTACCCCCCCCCTCGGTGACCCCCCTGTCACGTGTGGCCCCGGTAAGCCCCGTCGGGGAGCTCGCCGCGGGCCGGGCCGGGGGTGCCCGAGCGCAGCCCGCCTTGGCAGGGCACCCGCGGGCTTGGCCGTGGCAAGGGGACACGCGTGGAAATTTAATTTCCACCCCGTTTCCCCTGTGGAAACACCGATACCAGCAGCCTCGGCTGCCGGGGCTCTGCCCTGCGGAGCGGCCGCGGCCAGGTGTGCGCGGCCGCGCTTAACATCCGCGCTTAAACCCGCGCTGGCGCCGCTTCCTCCGACCCCCGCGCCTCAGTATGTTGTGTTTTCCCCTCCGCCGTTTGAAATATAAAATTCCCTTTGTTTTCATTGTTTATTCTCAGATTCTTCGGGGGAAGGAGGCGGGGGGGGGGGGCTGGGGAATTATATCATTCGTCACCCCTCGCGAAGATGGAACGAGGGAAACCTGGCGTCCTTCTCAAAGATCCGGGTAGCGAGAGAAACCTCTGGGAAAGGAGTGATGGCTCGCAGGCTCTGCCGGCTCCCGAAAAGTCTTTCCAATCAGTTAATGTGGCTTCGCAATATTAATGATAAAAAAATCGGCAGCCTTGCTTTCATTGGCTGGTGCCTTCGCCTTGATGCATCACACACTCTCCGATCAGCTCGGGGCATTTCGGGTTCTATTTTGTTCATTTACATCCCGTATATGCCCCCGTTAAAAAAAAAGGCAAAGAGGAAAAGGAAGATTTCCTTCGAGATGCCAACACCTCCATCCTTAAATACTTCAGTTTTTACCCTAAATCGACGATCCTGGAAGGGCATCTGTTGCGGTTGTACATCCCCCGAGGACGGGTTTTATAAACTTAGTACCTTTTTTTTTTTTTTTTTTTATTTTTTGAGACAGTAGTGATTTCCAGGGCGGTGACTGAAATCCATTTCTCCTCGCCAGCTTGTTTAGACACCAAAACTAATAGTGTGATTATTATTCCTGAATGATATCATGGTAATGCAGAAAGATAAGAATGGCCTGATATGAAAACATTAAAATTATATTCTTGGAGGTAGTTCATTTGGAGTAACTTTAAATTAGATGAGATCATGTAGCCTGAGATCTAATAGCAGCATAAATAGAGCAGTATTTCTGCCTTCATCTTCCTCCTCCTCACAGGAATCACGGTCGGGCTTGCAGTCCTGCAGCTGCCAAAAGTGAGAGCCAAAGGCACCTGTAATTGGAAAATACCCTCGATTCAAACTTTTAGTTGCTGAAAAAAAAAAAATGGATCTTTAAAGAACGTTTTTTTTTTTTTATGCTTCAGGAGCTAGGAAAGGGAGGGTATTTTGAACTGATTTTTAGTCAAAGGGAGCACGTTTTGGAAAGACTTTCAGGTCTCTGGTGCTTTTCACAGACACTGAGGACACCAGTCCTTGCTGTTCTGTGTGACCTGGTGAGATTCCCACAGACATCAATGCTTTTTACAAATACACAGAATTAACTCAGTGCACCAGCTGATTATTTTGATACCTTCCCTTCGTATTGGGTTATTTTACATGCAAGCACATACATACATTTCTTTATGCATGTGCCACATATTAAAAAAAAAAAAAAAAAAAGAAAACCCATTTAATCACATGCCATCAAATAATATTTTCTGAGAGATATAAATGTGTAAATTATATGCATGCACCAGCTTATGCAGCACACAGCACCGATGCTTTCACAGATACTCTGCAGAACAGACCACACACTTATGAGTTATTCTCTGTGCACGTTTGCAGAATTTCTTGCTCAGTCCCCTCCTGTTCCCAACCCTGGGAAAAGCATCCACGCAACTACAGCTACAAATAGTTACACAGACACAGCCTTCTGCACAGAGAGACGCAGTGGAGCAGGTCACTACCCTGCACCTACGTGACAGAAGAGGGTGGCAGCGATGCATGTGGCACGTTGGCTCACCCCACGATGGGTTTGCCCTGTGTCTGCTTCCTCACACTGGCCAACAAGAGATGCTTCCTGGGAAGGCACCACGCTCCGTGGGAGAGAGTTGTAGAATAACTTGCTACAAAAATTAAGATTCCTCTCAGCCCTCACTAATTAGGACCCAAAGCTGAAGTTTACAGCTCTTTCAAAACTTAATTTTTGTTCTGCTCATTTTATATATCCATGGTACTACACGATCTCTTATAAACCCCCCGTCCTTTAAATTTTTTTTTTTTTTTTTTTTTTTTTTTTTTTTTTTTGAGTCTGCTGTTAATGAGGAAGGCGATGTATATTTTTGCACCGGGGGATTTCCCCCTCGGCTCAGGCTCCCTGCAGGTGATAACCCTGCAGTGTGGCCAGTCACCCTGGGGAGCCACCGATGCTGGGAAAACTGTCCCCAGCCGACACCTTGGGCAGGTCCAGTGCCTTTTACAGTTGCAGGTCTTCTCCCAGCCCCTGCGAGGGGGTGAAGGTCCTGATTAGCGAGCCAGTGGCACTGCCTTACAGCATGATTTTGTGCCCCGAATTACAGCAGCCTTCCCAGACGATAAAATTAAGCACAGTTCCTCTGTGCGCGTCGGTGTGGAAGTGCTGCTGGTGGTTCGCCCTTTCCAGGGTGAGAAATGCCCAGTGGAAACCCAGTGGGATTCCTCAACACTGGGCAGACCCAGGCTGCGGAGTCCCATGAGGTCCTTGGGTGCATCAGCCCATGTCCCTGGGGAAGGGTCCGTGGAGATCACAGTCTGCTTTCTCTGCAGCAAAAGCAGCAGGAGAGAGAGCTGATGAGCCTCTCCAGTAAATAAGTATATTCACTGTGGCCATGCATGTAAACCCAGGGGCTTGACACAGAATTGACTTCCTAGATATTGTATGGCCAGGGAACCTCAGTCATTGTCAGCAGGATGAAGTGAAGGATAAACGACCTAAGCTCAGAAGTGCAGAGCAGGCTTGTAAGGAAAGGTAATATCTTTTATTAGACCAACTGATACAGTCAGAAAAAAACAGACAGGCTTTCAGGCACACGAGCGCTGAAAGAGAAGCAGCAACTTTCAAGAAAAGTGCCAAGGCTGAACTGTTTATCTCAGGTACTCACCCGCCTCCGTTTCTGGGGAGGCTGATGGCTTCATCGGCTGCAATACAGCCATCCTCCCCGGTGCAGGACGAGGCACAGAAGTGTGATTATTCCCAGCTATATGTCAGGCATGGAGAAACACAGAGGCCGGTCCAAGGCTGGATGAGAAGTTTGGGGTAGGGTGTTTCAGGTATTGTATTTCAGGTGAGGGCTGGAGTAGCCTTTT